GAGACAGATAATAAAAAGAATTTCTCTGCTACTGGGGTCTCGAACGTGCCTAGCGACTGCTCGCAGATCGCAAAATCCATCGACAACGGCATCTCTATTCCCATGAACGTATCAATCTTGCAGATAAACACGGTGCTTCCCGAGGACTTTGTCGTGCGCGTCCCATCGACGAAAAGGATAAAATATTTGATCCCGTGAAATTCCATATCCGAAAAAGCTCACCCCGATAAGGCGGGCTAAGAACGCGCGCGCACGTAGAGGCCAGGTGATATGGGAAGAATATTTCGCGAAGGGGATCGAAATCGGCTACGATCTTTCCGATCCTTTTTCTTATACTCTGCTTATACTCTTTTGGTACTCGTCCAGCTACCTTCTCGGACCATTTTCTTGAATACGTAACATCGGCCTTGCGGAGAAGCAATCGGCCGAAATATTCATGCGACCTCATTTCATGGAATACAAAAGGACCAATTCGTGTCTAACGATACAGCGAAGTGGATTAGGTGATCGAAAAAATGGTATAGATTGCCTGGAAATGTGTGAAATTGCTGGACATCGATGATCGTATATACAGAGAGGATTTTGGAGAAGACATTTCAAGGAATTACCGTATTGAGATAAATTTCCTTAAGAAAAATGATAATACGAGAAATGATAATACAGAAAATTCAGATTTTCAAGAGAGTTTTCATAAACTACACGAAATTAGAAAAAGAATCGAGAATAAAACGAGTTGAAGGAACACTGATGCAAGAAATTCCAGCAAGTAGACTGGAAACGTGTCTAATGAAGAAAGTCGTCTACGCGTCAGAGGGTTGTTTGCATGTCGGTGCGCCTTTAATGGAATGTCAACGTCCTGTCGTCGAATTTCTTTTTTTTTTTCTTTTGTCAACTAGACAGGACTTCTGTTCGTGTCTCGGATAATTACAGAAAATTCAAGAAATGCGACAAGAAACGAAAGGTTTCGTCTGGTGGATGCATTGTGGGCGCGGCTCGTCTTGCATTTTGTGGATCGATAAGCTGTCGGAATGAAACCCGTCACAGGAAGTAACGCGACCAAACCTTGTTTACGTGCTTTCTAATTCTCTTGATTGATTATCGATTAGGAAATTTTACATGATATTACAACTACCATTCGAAAATTTTAATCCAAAGATTTGTTCTCTTCAGTCATAAAATTCAATAAAATAATGAAACCTTTCTCTTACAATTTAATTTGAATACCAAAAATACTATTTTTCTAAAAATAGTGAAATATTGTTGTTGCACTCTAATTCACAGCAGTATTGCATTTTTCAATACCGTTTTCTAAAACTGCAAAGACTTGACAAGATTTTTTTAACCAGTAAGAAAGTTGAATAATTACAGGACTCGTCATGAAAACTGATGGTATAACTTCGTCTATTAAATATAATTATGGTACCCTTCGTGTCGTTCCATTCGCAAAACGATCAGATTTTTCGAGTAGAGTGGCGACCAATTAAAAAGTTTATGTTCCTCAAGAAGAAATAAGACGATACTCAGTTGCTTTTGTCGAAGCGAAGTTTCTATTTCAAAACTAAAAGTTCATTTTAACAGTGCGGTTACAAGGGCTAATAATTAACTGCTATACGCGAATGCTAATTGCTTTGTAGCGTTAATTGCGCGTTGCTTGTTCGACCCGATGTAATTTTCTCTTGAACGGCGCAAAAAATAATTAAAACTTGATTGCTGTTATTCGTAGTAATATACCGATCGGAGAACGAATCAAAAGATAATTTTCATTACCGTTCAAATTATACAAGAATTAAGGTGAAAGAAGAAAAATTAAAGAAAATTTTATCAAGCAGTTATTTGAAGAATAAATGAAAATTGTCTCGTCGAATAATTAAATAACTGCACAATGATCAGCGATATCAATTTATCCCAAACTGGTTTTGGATAGAAAAACGGCTGTTTTTCAATTGAGGACATAGATGAATGTATTGTACACGAAATAGTGTTGAGTTCAATCGACTATAAAACACGTACGCACAATGTTCACGCTGAATGATCCACGCTTTAAAAAAAAAGGGGGTAGATTTTTGTTGTAGAGAGGGATGGTCGAAGCTGAATTGGTTCTTTGCTCCGCAATATCGGCGGGAACTATCGTTTTTGTAGTAATGGCGAACATTCAGTCATTGAAAGCACGCTGGGTTTTTTGTTTTGCGAATTTTTTTCCACACGCTTTTTAAGGCTGCTCTTTTCACAAAAATTCGCGTACCTTCGAACGCGAGTCGAAAGCAATTGAATAATTGCAAAATTAAAGATTTAAAATGTTACAAATTAATTTTAACGTTTCATTGTTTCTTCCAGAATTGTTTCTTTAAATCTCTCTTTTTCATTCCCTCAATTTTCTGTTCTTTTCGTCCAATCCTCTCCCTAACTCCTTTTTCAACTTTCTGTCAAACCTCCCTTTACTTTAATCCTTTCTCTAGCTCTCGCTTCAGTTTCCGTTGCTTGCTTTTCGAGATTGAAAGTAGCCAGACGTGAAATGGGACAAACTCGAGCTTCATCTTAAACTTTCCGAATAATTGTACGTACGTATACAAAATTTCAAAGGTACATTACACGTGTTCTATAAATTATCCATTATATACGAACGTTTCAAGAAAGTTTATCTTTTGCTCGTTTTCTAATAACGAGAATGCGAGAAAAGAAAAAGAAAAGGATGAAAGTGGCGCAGAAAATTAATTCGTTTCCAGAATTCTCAGACTCACTGTTTTCTACCTTCTTTCTCCTACCGTCGTCTTTTCTTTACAGAAAGCCACTCAAGTTCTTGTCAGCAACGACGAACATGTCCGACCATTTCTTCCTTCTCTTTTCCTACTTTTTACACTAGCTTCCACTTAATTACGAAAAGCATCGTCACGCTTTTCATCCGCTCGTTTGAGCAGCAGAACACCACTTTCAACGAATTCTCTTTTCTTCAAACGTTCAACTTGAACACGAAGGTCAATTCGAAATGATTCCGAATGAAAATGCTAACTAATCGATTCAATTGTGATAATATAGATATTGAGATATCTATCACATAATTATAACTTTGGAAGACTTTAGAAAACTTTGAAATAAAATAATAAAATAGCTATCGAGTATAATTTATTTGGAACAGAAATTATTCGACAAAAAAATCAATTCAATTTCCGGTATTGATTTCAGTCTATCATTTAAAGTATTTATCTCCTAGTAGTTTATAGTTCTAATAAAACGAAGCTGACTTTATCCAAGTATTAATGATCGATTTACGATCACGAAACAGTTAACTCCGTCGTACCGAATATTGCGTTCTCAGGATTAAACCGTACGTCAAATATTTTACATTTTCCTCCCGCTCGCACACACGCATACGAGTATTAAGAGCATCGAAGCTGTTAGCGTGGTGAGTTTTCACGGCAGGAACAGAGAAATTGTCGATGCATTAGAAGGAAGGGAAGAAAAAACGAAGATAAAACGTATATTGCAACGATAATTCGATAAGCTGCTTCGTATTCCCTCGTTGTTTCCTCCTGTTCGTTTCTCGTCTCTTTTATTTATCCTTCTCTTCTCTCTCTGTCTCTCTTTTTTTTTCTGTAATATCCACAAAACTCATAGACTTCCAATCTGTTTCAGTAATAACCAGAGTAAACGATCGAACGTGACGTCACTGGGTTCGAACGCCAGTAAGCCGAAAGGATTGATATTGTCAAGCTTTTGTACAGGTAAAGCGAACCGTTTCTACATGTAAAACGGACAACAGAAACTCTCTCGACGCCACAGCCATTACACGTTAATGTTGGACTTTGTTTGCCTTGAAAATTGATGCCCGCTATACCAGCCACCCCTTCTGCTTTCACCCCTTTCGACCTCGCAACCACCGACCCTTGTTGCCTCCACGCTATTTTGTTTCTATCTTTTTTTTTTTTTTTTTTTTTTTTCATTCTACTCTTTTCGGTCGCGTATCTGTCGCGCGTTGCACGTTTTATCAGGCATCGTTCGAACGTAAAATTCAACCTCGTTTCGTTTTGCATTTACCGAACAGAGGTGGCTGGAAACCGCGATACCACGCTCGGAATTTCAATGTTTGCCGTTTCGATTAACGTCTGATCTGTCCAAGGTATCTTAGTCTGGACCCTAACGTTAACTCTAGCCGGAATTCCCTTTCGTGAATTCTGTCTACCATTTAACGGGACACACTCGTTCGTTTATCAGCCGGATCTACGGTAATCTTGGACCGTAAGCAACGTTGTAGGATTCGTGAAACGGTTAGTTGGTCAGATTTAGGATTACGGTCAGGGTCTACAGGTGTTTCAGATTAGAATGTTATCAGCTGAGTGATAATTTCGATTGAAAAATAGTCGGAAACCTGGTGAACGATTAATAATTGTCTGACGAAACGAAAGGATTCAAACGGAAAACTAAAAATTCATTTAAGTTTCTAGACTTCTACTTCTTCATTTTTCTCCAATTAAGAAAGTTTAACTTCTACGTGACCGTTTCCAAGTTTTAAAAGGGATCTGCACTTTTTTAATTGATTTTCACAGATATCACATTTCGTTTTGTTCCTTCCGTTTTGTCTCAATAAAGGAATCCTTCTGTACCGTTTCAAAGTTGAAATTGATTGCACTGAATACAGGTATCGCTTTCGGATAATTTTCGATCAGTCATCCGTATATTCGCAGCTGAAGGATTTATTTAATTGTTCCCGACACGATTTTCAGTCAATATAAAATTAGCAATCAGAGAATTTGCGTTTGTGTTAGCAGGGATTAATTAGATTTTTCAATAAAGTCTAAACTTTAACTAATTTTTACTGAACTTGTCGAAATGATAGATTATAGAAATCGTTAATTAGAAATCAGTAATCACGATTCGAGTAAAGGATAATTGCACGATTCTCGAAAGTAATCATGCATCGAACACCGGCAGTTTCAGCGTTAATTGCGAATTCCACGTGCAAACGGTATTAAAAAGTGAAATGTTAATTCTCATTAATCACTTACCGATCGTAGTCAGCACGGTGAGGGAGTACAAGAACGCTTTGGCGAAGTTCCACTCGTATTCCGGCACTCGTCGTTCTGTGACAGGGTCGCTAGCGGAACTTCCGACGTATGTTCCGGCGTTCTGGGTCGCCATCATATCCTCGGTGATCCTCTTCACCAGTTGATCCTGAAAACGTGCGATCTCCTGGGCGGCCAACCTCGTCCAGTTCTCACGGTAGAGGATGTTCAAACTCTCCGTGATTATCCATATATTCTCCACGGTCTTTGCTCGAGCGTCGTGATTAACCTTAACGTCATAAGAATGCTTTGTTAAAAGATTCAAGGTACCATTTTGTGGATATATTTCGAGAACTGAATGAATTAAGATTGGGTCTCTCTCCATGGTCCGCCGTTCAAAAATCAGATTGCATACGAAGTAATAATTAAGCTCTTTTGTTAATGATACGATGAAAATTTGAAAATAAGAAGTACGTATTCTAACTGGGAAATAAAGGAACCAGAAATATCTCTTCGAAGCAGAAGACTCTATGAAACAGGTTTCACTTTAAAGAAACGAAGAAACTAGATGGGACGTACGATCGATAAAACTTCGTTGATACGAACGCCAACGCCAGAACGCACCGATAATTCGATTGACTTCGGGTTCACTGAGGTCATCTCAGCGAGAGGAAACCGGGATCAAACCGGAGATGCGACGATAAATCGAGATTTGCTTCGAACGATACCATTCGTTCCTTTTAGCCGATGGAAAAAAAAATGTCAAACACCTAGACGTATTTAGTGCGAACAGCAATTTCATGGTGACAGAAATATTTGGTCGTTTATCGAATGAAACTTTCATTTCGCAAAGGTATTCATGGAAATCCTTTCTATAAATCATTATATTAAAAAAATTATATGAAACTCACGTCCGAGAGGAACCATTAATTGATATACGATGTAAACGTTTGGAACAATGAAAAATAGATTGCAATTTTTACAGGCGATCAAAATTGAATCGGCACGATATTAATTTGACTATCAATGAAATGAACATTTTCGTAATTTATATCTGTCTCCCTAAACGACAGAAGTAATATATTTTTCATATCTTTTAATAAAAATATACCATTAAAAATCTTTACTGTCCAGAATAAACAAAATCATCTACAATTTAATAAAAAAATATCCCTTTGATATTGATGTAACTCTAAACTCTAATTAAAAAAAGAAATCCATGGAGAGATCCCTAAATTTTGCCAAACGATTTTTGGAAGAATAACGTATCGACGAGTGCTTACTGTTCAAGTGATACCCGTTCGAAAAGAATGTAACAATAGAAGGTAAAGACGCGAAGAAGAATGTAACGGGTAGAAATCGATGAAAAACTCAGTTACCTGTTTCATCCAAGCGGTGGTGTTCCGTCTGGTAGGCTGATTCCCGGCTATTGTTGTGGCAAGTGTTCTTTGTTGTATCCCGACGTCGGTGCCGCTCTCGATGGCAAGAAAGATGAAGCTACCGAGCAAAGTATAAGCGACGAGAAGGGCGCATATACCGAGGTTTATAACAAAACCCTTCAAGAAGGAGTGCTGGCTAGCCTTGTCCGGCACGCCGCCGAAGCACAGGCACCTAACTTGTCTCGACGGATGCGTTTTCGAGCGATCTGAGGTGGACCTCTTCAAGGACGACGTATTCCCATTGTTCGCGGGCTTGAAGCCCTCGTAAGCTCTGTAATGTCTCGCGTTCTCTTTCTCCATTCTATCTCCCTTTTTTCCTCCCCTGGATCACTCGAATTCTGCCTTTACTATTTGTCAGCGTCCTTCGATAGGATGAGCAAGAGAAATAGGGAGATCAACGACGGTGTCCCCGGTATTCTTCCAGCTCCCTCTGACCTCCAGTCACCAGCCACGATTTTCATACCAAGAATAATACGGTCAACGATAGATCCTTTCAGAGATCTGTCTCGTGAAGAGAAATCAGTGTTTCTTCAACGATGATCGCGAACAACCTCCTCGACGATCTTCTACGCGATCGTCTTCGCGATCTCTGCATCGCGGAACTACGACTCCTTGAAACACGAACCAGTCTTGAACACTCCATTGGACGGTGGAATGATTTACGTTCGAAAGGCCGTGTCACCTCTGCGAGCTTCCTTTTTCATAGACGCAGGCTTTCGATTATCCTTTCGGAAAATGCTGGCCAAACGCGAGCAGATCGTCGAAAGACGTTCCAGGATCGTTCGAGTATTCGATCGCTATCGGGGTCATTTTTCCAAAGGGCACTCGCGTTCACTGGAATTCTCTATTTTCTAGGATATTAATCCGTTCCTCGAAGATCTACGACTTTTCGGGGATATTAGCCTCCTCACGCATAAGTTGAAGAGATATTTATAGGCTTCCGGGTTGCTTTTATTAAACGATTCGTCGACGTAATGCTAACCATAATTCTGCTTTACGGCTTTCAACGAGGACACTCCAATCTCTAGATATTCCATGGTGAACGAGATTTGCGTAGATCGTTGGTTCGGTTAAACGTTCATTTTAGAGGTACGTCGGTGAAGGAGATCCATCGATTAAGCCTCGATGCGCCGTCAGAGAGGTGAAGCACGTCACTGACTAGGCCGTAGCAGCACTTCCGCTTTTTACCCCTTTCTTTCCTTTAGCGGGAAAATAGAAACTTAAGGAACGGCGCGGAGGGAATTTCAAGAGTGTCTCCATGAGTCACTAAAAACTTTCTTCCGTACGATGTAAAGCTACCGACCTCCTTTTTCTTCTTCTTCTTCTACCTCTTCTGCCCGTTCGCGAAGAAAGAATGAACGAAAGAAAGAGATAAATGTAGCCGCGAGCGAAGCTGCAGGATGCAGACGGAAACGCGAGCGGTGAGCAAGTGGATGGCAACTTCAAGGCTTCATTCCAACAAACAGGATTTCCGGAATAAATGTTCCCGATGCAAACCGCGACTGCGTGCTTCGACGAACCCCTCGTACCCTCTTCGTTTGGTTGTTGCCGTTGCTTCGTCTTCTTCTCATTTCTCGCCGATCGAACTGGCTCGCAGTTCGCACGGAAAGCCGATTAACGCGGTCAGCCTGGATACACAGTAATTTACTCGAATCCTCCACACACGAGGCTCGCGTTTTCGTTTCAGAGGCTCGCGAATGAATCAACAGCTTCGAAACGCGTCGTTTCTCTTCCGCCTCGCCGAGGTAATCTGTAAACAGAAGCGCGAGAGGTGGGATTAGTATTCAAGTTTATACCTTTTGTTTTAATTTTCAGCCAGATGCGTATACCGGTTGGTATATTATTTAAACGAGAATCAATCAGAGTAATTTTTACCTATTTTCACAACGATTATATACGATATAATAATTATTGTATTATTTGCCGAAGGATACTTCCCTAACGAAAGGGTTAACTCCATTGATTCATCGATAGGAAGAAATGACAAGAGATCGATAGAATTCTATGGACGACCATTTTTATCACTCTCTGGTCCCATGAAATTTCGAAAAGAATCCGAGATTCAACGAAAGAAACCACAATGGCCCCGATCTCTCGAGGAGAGACAGTTGAATCCAAGGTGGACGTAGGACGTTGAATTATCGAGCAACGTCCTTTGGGAAATCGTCTGGAGAAGTTCCATGGAGTTCGAAGAGAATCTAGCGGCAGGGAGAGCCATAATCGACGATCATCCTCGAATCCGCTAATACAGAAGCCACGAAAATCGTAGAAAAGGAAATGCAACGAGGCCATCGGATAAAAGATCGAGAAACGTCGAACTCGTCGCGGAAGAGGAAATCGCAAGGTATAGCGTGTTCTTTTCGACATCCATAAATGCATAGCAAGATCAACCGTTTCAAAGCCGTGAAGAGTTCTCTATATCCGGGCGCGATTCAGAAATCGCGTGCGCCCGGCCGGATGTTCCCTGATATTTAAATTCGAAGATTCCAAGCCGGGAGATTTTGTACCGTATACACCCCCGTAGGAACTGAACGCGCGCCACGCCACTCGACCACGTCACAGTTGAAAACTGAAAACGCTCCTATGGTATTTTTAATATCGCCGTAACACGAGGCTATTGAAATTCCCCTGCAAGAGAGACCCGCAGACGTTTCGAATAGAGGCAAGAATAATGTCGTAGATTTCATTCCCTTTCCCCTTTTCTTCGAATGATCAATAGAATTTCAGATTTAATCCTCGAACAGCGGAGCCTGGTCATCAATCTAAAGTTAAATGTATGATTTTTTAACGAAAGGGTTTCATATATCAGAAGAATATTTTCTAAAGAAACAGTGTAAAATTTAGAAAATGATAATAGAGGCTTTCTCCATGGTCCGCTGTCCGAAGATTAATAAGGTTCTAATTATTTGTAATAAATCTAATGCAAAAATAATAAAAAATATAAAGATAGAAGCTAGTATTTTTATCTACCTTCTCTAACGATTATTCAATTAAAATGACTAAATTAAGTAACCGGAAGAATAATTATCCTCCAAGAAGGTGAATCCAGGAGAATTCGATCTCCAGCAATAAAATTCCTCGTTTCATCGTTTCCCTTCATCCGCCTTGGTCGCGTTCGATAGAAGAATAACGTTTCCAAGGATTTATGGTTTCGCCGGGCGCCTTTTCACGTACACACCAAAGGTAGATCCACAAACATAAAGGAGAACAATGAATTTGAGCACGTCGAATACTAACTTGATGCTAATTTATCGTCCGTCCTGATCGATCGTAGCTCTCGATCCTCCTTTTCACCGGGCGAGAAAACGATCTTTTCGAACAAACTGGCCAACCGGGCTGAAGATCGTAAATCGGTTTCCACGACGGCGCCGCCGCCTTGGCTCTGACCTCTTCCACTTTCGTTCCAATTTTCAGCCCTTGTTTTCCACCCTATCCCTTTATACCTCGTTTACGAGCTCACGCGTATTTCCTCGTAAACGACCGACAGTTTCTTCCTCTATCTATTTTTTATAGTAAACAATCGAAGAACGACGACTTTGCAATTTACGACACGGTTTCTTGCTAAATCTTGGATCTTAAGAAAACTTTAACCGTTTTACAGATGTATCGCTTGCTATTTTATATCCTCTACTTTTCGTACCATGCAAAGCTGCAGCACATTACTCCAACCGAATTGACGTTCATCTCCAAAACGACCTTACAATTGCAGCCTGCCTATGTTTCACCTCAAAAGCCATTTCCGCGAAGATTGCATAGCAGCTGCTTCATGCATTAGCATTTATAACCACTTTCCAGCACGAATCGGGAGATAATTGTGCCAGAAGATCGAGCGTACAGAGGCGGAGGGTAGTTGTTGGTGGCACAGGTTTATGGGGGTTGGAAACGAAACGGGAGCCGACGCGAGAACGAAAGAAATGTGACGTTGACGGTGGATGAGGGGAAGGGGGAGGATGCAAAGATAGAGGGTGGCGAAGGGCTGGGAAGGGGTGAAATGCAATTTTTCCGTTCGGCGCTTTCCTCGCTGGCGGGAGAACCACCTGTGCTCGTCTCAGCGACTTTTAAATTCGTACCATTGTCGGCTCTATTTGCTGAAAAATGTTTATTCAATTCCGTTTACCATCACTGCAAGATATTTACCCGGTCGCTTTTGCTCGAATAGCCCCGTCGCACCACTACAACCAATGGGAATTGGATGGGGACGAGATGCGAGATGCTTGCTACGAGCGCGGGGGCGGTTGTGCAGTTAAAGAGAAGAGCGACAGAGAAATAGAGAGAGAGAAATTTCTCGCTATGCAAAGTGGAGCAAATTTTCCGGTAAATAGAGCACCGGCAGGTAAGTGTTAAAATGGTTTTGCTTTATGAGGCCATGATACGACTTTTTAAAAGCACTGTTTCCTGACTGAGTTGACTTCATATTGGGCCTAGTAATTTTCCCTTGGTACAGCGGAACCTCTTGTACCGTGAAATAGGCAGAATATAAAACAACACTTTACATTTCGTATAAATGAAATAATTTAATAGAAATTTATCCTTCTAAATTATATGTGATCATAATAAAAAAAATGATTGATTATTCAATGAACATAAAATTCAGCTGAATTTTTATTTTCACTTAAATTCTTATGTTTCTCCAAAAATTGGATGCTGGATGTATTTAGCCTGCAGGTACAGAGAACAGGAAAATGTATTTCGGAGGAAAATAGTTTTTATAACATATTTTCGTGTTTCATTTTTCAAGATATTTCGAAACATATCGAATCGTGGTATACTTTTTACTTTTCAAATAAAATTGGGATATTTCGTCTGCTTTTAATTTACTATCTTGAATGACTAGTGGAATTTGCATTTGGAAATTTCTCTCTCTATTCATCTTTCGATTGTCTGACTAATTGTAAATTAAATTTGTAATGTTGATCGCTGCTGACCCCGACGGCAGTCGATAATCTATACGGTGAATAATGCATGTATTAATAATCCATATTATCGTATACCGTATAAATTCATACTGATCTATTACATGTAGATGCTTTGAAACGTGTATATCAGCTTATGCGGGATTTTATAGTATGAGAAGATTTAGTTGAAGTTCAATTTTAAAGAAACATTATTTACAGACGTTATGAATTTCGATAAAAAATAATGGAATATCTCTTTAAATTTTCTAAAATAGAATTTGGCTAATTGTGAAGCAAAATGCTAGTCGTTAACCTGATATTGAAATATTATTAACAAAGAGACTTTCAATTATATGAACGAACAGTATGACAGATATTCTGAGACTAAGCAAAACAGAATGAAAATGATGATATATGTACTTCCCTCTCGATTTCCTCTCGAGTTTGTACGATTTCGTATATCAGCAAACGAGATCACAGTCCACGACAGAAAATTTATGGGAGTGTCAACACCATCGAAAGTTTCATTAACCTGGACAAGCTATGATATACAAAATCGTCCCGAATCGATGAAATACACTATCACGATTTCAACCCATTTTTACTTTAGAATCTGAATCAGTTACCGTATTTTATGGGCCTTTTTTTAAAAATATTTCTGAAATTTTCAATAAAAGATCTTAGATTTATGAATCATTGATTTTTTTTAACACCTTTCTTTTTAAACCATCATTAATTTCTTACTTACACCTGACAAACAATTGCACCATCAAGCATGCAGTATCGGAAACAAGAAGATGATAGAAAAACTATGGGAAAATGTTATAACGAGAAGGGAATTCGATGTCAATTAAGCTTCCTTCGAGGATCCTCCCTTGTACACGTAGACGAAGCGGAAGCACCTCGTTATTTCAAGCGCCTGCATTTGTAACTTTTTCTAAAACTTCGTTCGGTTAATCCTGCAAGCATTTCGTTAGACGTGGTTGGAAGGCAGTGCAAAAAGGAAGCATGCTCGGACAAATAACGACGATACGTTCCTCGCAGCTGTTCGCTAAACTTTATCACCATCATTTCTCTCCGCACGATCACCACAGAGTTCCTATACCCGTATGCACTTAGATTTCTTTCTATTATTTAAATAATATTTTTCAAACTACTCAGACATTTGGAAATAGACCTATAGACACCTGGTCGATAGTTCAATCTGAAGAATTCAACAATAAGCAAAATTTATCAAATTTTATCAGCAATCATAGAAGTATTAAATGATAAAGGATAAAATTCTTTAGAAATGTTTGAAGATAGAAGAAAAAGGGGTGAATAAGTGGTGGGAAGCAGTGCAAAGTAAAGCTGATAAAAAGTGGTAAAATAGTAGAAGGAGAGATAACGACGTGAGATAGGACAAGGTGGTTGCAGAGCAACGAATAAAAAATAGTCTACGACATATGATATTCTTGCAGGATGTCGTGTCTGAGCGTCGCCCGTTGCACATCCTGCTATACAACGGGCCGATGTGTAGCGTTGCGAAATGGAACGAGGTTGAAATTTGTGCCCCGAGATGAAATTCTCCCTGTACACGGTATACGATATTCCCTAGAACGTACATACGTATCCGTTCGAGAGAGTCCTTTCGCAATTCAGCTTGTTAGAGAATGTGGTTACACGGTGGCTACGGTGCTCGAGCGTCCGTATTTTCCAGAATTAACGACGCAAGGGATCCGACTTACTGAAAATACCTTTTCCCTTTTCTATTTTTCTCCTCAATTTCTCGGCATCGTTTCAAAAAATTTCAACCATTAATATTACATTAGCTCTGTTAAACGCCAAGCGGAGATTTGTCGTTTTCTTCATTGCG